TTAGTAGAGACGGGGTTTCACCATGTTGACCAGGATGGTCTCGATCTCTTGACCTCGTGATCCACCCACCTCGGCCTCCCAAAGTGCTGGGATTACAGGCTTGAGCCACCGCGCCCGGCCAAACCGTGTCTTTTTAAAAAGACAGGGTTTCACCATGTTGGCCAGTCTGGTCTTGAACTCCTGAAGTCAGGTGATCCACCCACCTTGGCCTCCCAAAGTGCTGAGATTACAGGCGTGAGCCACCACGCCTCTGTCTCAAAAAAACAATAAAACAAACAAAAAGCAGGCTGAGCACGGTGGCTCACACCTATAATCCCAGCACTTTGGTAGGCTGAACCAGGTGGATCACAGGGTCAAGAGATCAAGACCATCTGTCCTGGCCAACGGGATGAAATCTCATCTCTACTAAAAATATAAAAATTAGCTGGGGGTGGTGGCACGCGTCTATAGTCCCAGCTGCTCAGGATGCTGAGACAGGAGAATCGCTTGAACTGGGGAGGCCGAGGTTGCAGTGAGCTGAGATCACACCACTGCACTCCAGCCTGATGACAGAGCAAGACTCCATCTCAAAACAAAACGAAACAAAGCAAAAAAGGATGGGGAGTAACTGAAGTTTGACTTGACACTAGTTTCTACTTGTAGAACACACACACACACACACACACACACACACACACACAGAGGCCAAAGTCTTTTCATTCTGGAGTATAAGGTATAGCTTAAAATGAAAATGAACAGTTTGTCACATATTGGTTGTAACACTTTTGGACTGATTTTTTACGATGTCAAATGTTTTCCTTCACACTATAATAACAATTGACATTTATACGAGCTCTTTGTAGGTTTACAGAGGGCTTTAACCAGCAAAATCTAACAATCCACCAAAACTACATTAATATAATCAGTCAATCATGCAATGAATAAAAGCTACGGGAAAGATTATTGAAATGATGACAATAAGAAAATATGCTTTGAGGGTTATATGGAACCTAAATCTCAAGGAGTGATTAATTTGTGATGTTTTCTACACCTTTGTCTGATAGTCTTTTCATTCGGTTTTTGCAAATCTCCCTTGGTTTTTACATTTGCGGGAATTCAGCATTTACCACCTTGTACCATTTTTCAGGATCACAGTCCTAAAAAACATTTTGGATCATGCCAGAAGCCAGTTAAGTCTGTGACCAGAAATTTGTAGCAGAAACAAGTCTTTTTTTTTTTTTAAATA